ATAACTGGGTGAACTAACCATGCTTCGTGACAGCGATTTGTGATGCTACAAACACAACCACGGACCATGCGAAGGCACGAAATCGCCAGGGTGCCACGTGGAAGCTTTCACCCAACCTCGGGACGAGGTGGGGTGATTTTTCCAGTGGATGCCTTGACTCGGCTTGACCACCATTCCGAAGGCCAACAAAAATCACAAATCAGATGGGTCTTGGGATGGAATTCTTTATAGTACCCTCTGGTAAACTAACATAACTATGGAAAATCACAATTTTTGATGGGAAAATCCATTATAAATGGTCATTTTCAAAAGCTATGTTAATTTACCAGAGGGTAAATGGTTGTCAATCACCATCCCAATGCGAGACTTTGGCGTTTGACAATTTGCTTCAGTGCTCAGACCTCTGGCTGGTTTATGATCATGTGCGGGCTATGTACCTGTGCCTGGTTTCCGCCACCCCCAAACTCGGGCCTTCAATGGCAGCCAGCCACTCAGTCACAATCTCTCCCTCCTCTGCCTGCAGAATGAGATATTTGGCAGTTGGAAGTGCTGATGCTTCGGAGATATTACCTCTATTCTGATGTCCCCAACTCTTTGAGTTGCCAATTTTCTTAGTATCCCAAAATTGGAGAGGTTACCCCGGGCTTACCACTAAACAAAGTACATCTGTGACAATGCTTCGGCACACGCAGAAGACTCTCCTCTAATACTCCAAACGGGAATGTCCTGTTTACTATAGTGGGTATCCATTTTGGAGTCCCCGAGGTCCCATTTTCTTGGTCTTTGCCATGGTTGGGAGATGGGTATGTCTGCATAATAGGGTAACCCCAGATCCCATGGTATAGCATCAAGTTTCAAAGCAGCTGTATGCTGCTATTTTATGGCTACCTCGTAAATTTCAAACCCATAAATGACATACCCGAATATCATATCAAGTTGGTTATGTACAGTATCCCCATGAAATATCACCATGAAACAATCTGCGCATGAAATATGGGTATGGGTCAATACCTATAGATACATTTTTAGTGGGACGAACATCCATAAATCCCAGCTATTTTGGGGTTCACTAGGTACCAGGGTTTTGACCCATCCCCATATCACCACGAAACAATCTGAGAGATTTGATGCAGCTCCAGTCACATCGAAGTAGCCCATGTCTCTGCGCTGCTTTGGCAGGGCCACATTCACCTCCACGACGAAACCCGAGGGTTTCTCCTTCCTGGGATCAACAAATCGCGCCTTTGCAAGCTATGTACATCCATGCTTGTCCCTAAGAAATGATCTACAGATTCTGGATGTGATACCCTCTGGTTATGTCAAAATAGCTATTGAAAATGACATAAAATGACCATTTATAGTGGATTTTCCCATTAAACATGGTGATTTTCCATAGTTGTGTTAGTTTACAGAGGGTATTTTCCATGACTGTTTTTATGCAGTTTACTGGTGGGGTAGTCAACATCGGGATCATGTCATGATGTCATCATGTCAGGTAAGGCAGAGAAAACCAACATATTATCGATATGATCGATATTTTCCATTCTTTCTGAGGCCTTAGTCCCCTTTTGTCCCCTTTTTAAAGGTGGTGAATTTCCAGTTTGGGGAGTAAAGTCGTTGGTCCCTCATTGGTGTGTGGTTCAATCCCAAGTTTTGTGCCCACCGAGACGCCGATGCTTTGGTGAGTCTCCTGGAGGATTTCCAAGCTGGACGGTCAGGCAAAATAGTCATGGCGAGGCAGTACAATTGCTACTACTTACTGACACTGTGACTGTCATAAAATGTCAGAAATATGCGACCACTTGTATTGGTACCAAGCATGTTAACATACATTATCATTACCACATCATGTTTAATGATCTTTAGGCATCTTCCGTCATTAACCAGACTCCTGGTGCCCTGATGTTGGCGAACCTGCAAGCCCGGGAACCTGACAGGCAACGGGCATAGACACAGAATCTACCCAAATCAAGGACCATTCCAGGAACCTGAATTGGAGTTACCTACCATATGTCAGGTCTATGTACTGTAAGGGCTATAAGGGGATATTTGGAGGTTTCCTAAAATGGGGGTACCCCTCAATCATCCATTTTTGTAGGATGTTCCATTATAAACCATCCATTTTTTGTTCATCCCCCATTTATGGAAAACTCCATTTGGCTTTATATGTTACAGTACCTCCATTTTAGGCTGAAAATTCCACCAGATGATCAATTCATATGAAGGAAGGGCCCCTTGCTGGAAGGGCAAATAAAAAAGGGCACCATGGAGCAGCGACATGCAAAAATGCTATATAATGATAATAAATAATAAATAATAATAATACACACATGTATATACTGTAATATATTATAATATACTACAACATGAAATGCAATGTTATATAATATAATATAACATAATACAATAAAGTGCAGTGTAAATATAATAATACTTAAAAAACATATATATATATATATATATTACAATATAATATACAATACACAAGATGATATATAATATAAAATGTAATATAACATAAAAATACAATATAATATAATATAATATAATATATGTAGTATATAATATAATATACAATGATATGTAAAACAGCATGTACCATATACATAATATGGAATTTAACATATAATAAAATATGGTGTATATAATATACATATGTGCAACATATATAATATCATATAGTATAGTATAGTATAGTATAGTATAATATAATACTATATTACACAATATGATATTATATTATTATATCATATACTATAATATCATATTATATTGATACTATATTATATATTATTATATTATAAATCATAATTGCCAAACATATCCTCAAAGAAGAAAAACGGTAATTGGATAATGCATTGGATAATAACATATTTCCGAAGCAATGGAACGGTTCGCAAAACTTGCCTCCGGGACAAGTACTGAAAGAAGGAACAAAACTGTTGGCCATCATGATCATACTGCAACGGCCAGTCGGATTAAGTGATAAACCCGGAAACTGAGCGTTTGTGGATCATCCTACAACATGTCATTTCCACATATCTTTGACAACCAGTGTCCACCACCTCATATCCATATCCCTCTATCACAGATCGATTTTGGACACCCAATATTTCTCAATAGTGTTTCTCATGCGTGATTTTGTGCACATCATCCCTTGTGTTCTTAAGCTACCAGTAGATATCATCCAGCTTCCCATGTGTTTTCCATCTCAAGCGAGACTGGCCCGGCCTGGTCCCAAAGCGAGTTCGCAAGTCACGACCTGCTGGTCACCTTGCGGCTAACATGATGATTCTTATGCAACGATCAGCGACCATTCTATGGCAAGTGGGTGGTCAATTCAAGGCGTCTTCATGAAACAGCAAATGGACGGGTCATGTTTCCTTTTTTTTGCGCCCGATAAAATAGGCACAAAAGAACTTAGACTGCCACTGCTCCACCCCAACTGAGCTGCAGGCTATCAGCGAAACATTTGAAGCCATTCTGGTCCAAGACCTCGTTGGACCATATGAATGTGCAAAGCTAAAATGTCAATGAATACCATCCGATTCAATTTTGGGGAGATATATTTATCATACACCTTTTAGGAGGGTGATGTAATTGAAAGCCAAATGGTTGAGCTGCAGGGGCCATCTTTACCATTGACTTCCCAATCAAAAGGGGTGTGGGGTATCTATCTATGCCATGCAATGTGTTATTTCTTTATACTATATACAGTATGGTATACTAGTTCGATCTATTTCATATCTGCATCTAGATCCATGTGTATCCATATAATATATAGTATGATACATCAAATATAACGAAATATACCGTTGTGTGTGTGATGGCTTCTTGAATTTTCTTTATGACACTGTCACTATCCGCTCATTACTTTTCCTCTTCTTCATCTACCCAACTTAAGTCCCACGATATCATTGCTTCAGCACCCTGTGTCTCCCTTGACACCAAGGTATCGGTTTCCAAACAAGATTGGTCGTAGCTTGTTCGAAGTTTATTGAACCATGGCTACTCTTAAGCACGCTGCATGTGTTGTTGTTGTTGTTGCTGCTGCTGTTGTTGCTGCTCTTGCTGGTGCTGCTGTTGCTGCTGTTGCTGCCGTTGCTGCCGTTGCTGTTGTTGCTGCTGCCCCAGTCTGGGACAAACCCATATGTGAAGAAACTATCATAAACTATCATCAGCTACCCATAAAGACCCAGACTACCTCACTTTTTGGGGGCCCATCATACTCAGCCTATAGCCATGTTGCTGGACACCGCCGAGGTCCGAACACACCACTGTGGACTCCAAGCACTATCCACTGCTGGACCTCTCTTCAGCAACCAACCCTCCTTCACAGCCATGGCAGCCGAAAACTCGGAGGAGTTTTTTTTTGGTCAGCAAATTGTGGTTGAAATGTCGAAAATTGAATTTGAGTATATTTGAATCATTCTCATTTTCCACGGCTGATGATGTCGTTTGGTGATGTTTGGCGGGCATAAACATATTGCATGTCTGAAAAGACCTGGAAGGGCGTCTGTTCTTAATCTTGATAGGAATGGCTGGCGGGTTCAGGGAAGCCACTTGGGCAACGCTATGGAATTGCGGTGAAGTTTGCTATCTGCTATCTGATATACTTGACAACCTTGTTTGACTGTCCAGTTTGACTGCTTTATGCTTTTATCTTGCTGAATGTTGTGATTTATGGCATCCTGGGAGGGACCCAAAATTGGCATTCACGCACATGATGTGCCCGCGCAGATTCTGCGACTCTGAAGCTGAAATGTCACGCACATGGCCAAGCAACCTGACAAACTCTGAACACTGCAACTTGACCCAGGTGAAACACGTTGCAGTCAGATAAACTTCACTGATAAACCGACATTTCTCGACGCGATGCTGTTTCCTCTGACGCAAACTTCTGCATTTCTCCATAGCCGCTATGAAGGCACAGCCTCTCCGAACATCTCCAGGCACAACATGACCAAATCCCCACAAAGTCATACTAACTCCTATACGCTCAAAAAACAAAACAACAGAATAACAGATGTCCGACAGAGTCTGACATAAACCATAGTGACCTTAGTGACCCATATCTTTCCCTACATCTTTTAGAAAAAAAACGTCAGATAAACCAACCGAACTGATCCACCACATCTCCCCGCTGCTGTGGCGCCCCGTCTCTGGATGCGACGTCTCAGCTCAGCGGCCATGGCCTCAAGACCAAAGGGGTCGCTCTCGGACCTGGCGCTGCTGATCCAAGTGGGGCTTTCTGCAGACAGTTTTTTTTTCAAGTTGGGATCATTGGAGTCAATTTCAGTAATTTGGATATGGTTTGGGATATTGATATACTATAATATTACTATATATATATATATCTATATGAGTATGGTTGCGACCAGAAGGTTTTAAACTAAAGTTTTAAACGTTTGTTTGCAGACTAAAAAGGTCAGTGTCGAAACCTTGTCTGGACATCCGTGGCGGGAGACGGGGGGGGTCGGCAGAAACAAACTAACTAATGGAAAAAAGGTTTGTTTTAGAGGAGGAAAACAAACGTTTTCGACGGATGGTGAAACTATAGTTTCGGGCCTTCAAAACAAAGGTTTTCGACGGGAAAAGTTAGTTTCCGGGGGGTGAAACAAACCTTTTCCAGGAGGGGTCGGCGAGGGTTGAGAAACAAAAGTTTCAAAACTAGAGTTTGAAGTTTCCGAAACAAACTTTTCCAGACCAAGGTGAGAGAGTTAGTTTGTTTGCAACCACGGCCACGCGCTTGGCAACTATTTTCGCCGTGCGGACTGGTTCGGTTAGCCTCGGCGGGCGTATTCTACAACTAGCTGCCGGTTGGCATAACTACTGTTATGCCATTCATTGACCGCGCGCTGCGCGGCAGCTGGAGCAGCATAGCGAATGATAGCAGCGGCGTGCTGCGGTTTGCAGCGAACCTTGGTAGCAAAGAAACAGCAACAAGGAACAGCAGCCAACAACAACCCAACAATAACCAACAGCAACTAACAACAACCAACCAGAACAAGAACAAGAACAGGAACAAGAACAAGAAGAAGGACAAGAACAAGAACAAGAACAACAAGCAACCGCAACGAGAACAAGAATTAGAAGCGAAGACAGCAGCAACAGTTCAAGAGCACAATCTTAGAATGTCGAAACAAGACGCCAGTTGGGAACAAAAGAAGCAGAATATGATGCGACAGACACGAAGCCCGTTCACACGGAACTGTTTTGGAGATGGAATTGGCTTGCTAGCATGGAAACCAAAAGGAACTATCGTTATATGAAGATCACGCCGGCTGAGATGATGTGGAACAATGTGGATCGCATCGAACAGAAGCAAACAGGGGTGTAGTATATTGAAGTAATTATTAGACGTTGCTGCAAAGAGGCATCCACATGCACAATGGCTCCCAAAACAGCGAAGTCAGCGCGCAGCTGTTCTGCTGTGATGTCTGCGGGAAGGTTCGCCACGAACACCACACGTCGCCATGCGGGTTGGAAAGACGTGGCGGAGCCGGAAAGGTGGTGCTTGGATGGCGGAGCCGTGTCTGTTGGGAACAGAAGGCGGAGCCGGAACGCAGTTGGATGAAGTGTGAAAAGCAAAACAAAATTAACCAAAGAAAATACACGGACGACAAAAGGAAGCGAAGACGGTAGGCACAAACATTTGCGGAAGCAAAACATTAGTTGCCAGAAAGAAAACAAAAGTTTGGAAACTATAGTTTTTTCAGCGGAAACAAACGTTTTGCGGAAACGTTTGAAACAGCACGAAAAAACAAACACAGTACCCCAATGGTGGAAAGGTTTATTTTTCCGGAAGAAACCAAAGTTTGCCTAAAGGGTTTGTTTCCAGTGACAAAACAAACTTCGCACAATATACTTTCAAACAAAGGTTTCCAACAAAACAAACAAACAAAACTACCGAAAAAAAGGTTTGTTTTGGAGAGTTTCAAACTAGTTCGGTGGAAGTTTGTTTCAAGGTTTCGGTTTAAAAACAAAGGTTGTGGAAAAAGGTTTGTTTGCGACGAGAAAACAATTCTTTTCGATCAAAAACTTTAGTTTCCAAAGGAAAAACCTTGGTTTTCAATGAGGTTTCCAGCCGTGCCAATGCATATTGGCAGCAAACGTTAGTTTCGACTGCAGAAACAAACCTTTTCTTGTGCCGCTGAACGTTTGTTTCCTATCATGAAACTGAGGTTTTGCAACGGGGAACGTTTGTTTTTACTGGAAAACAAACTCTTGGGTGCAACCCTACTGATCTATATGGATATTATATATATATAATTATGAAAAAAGGACATTTCAAGTGACCCTGTCAGGGTCTCTGTGTGTGTGTTTGCCCAAAGATTTTAAGACATTTTGAGTTGTGAAGATCCTTAGGGAGATGTTAATGCATGTAATTCTGATTTATCAATCGAGATGGACCGGAGATATGAGATGGATATGAGATACGCTTCAAACTCAGCTAAACAATTCGAAACCGCAGTTTTTGTGGCCTTTGTGGTCCATTCAATAATCTGGTGGTGCTGCTGGTGACATCAACGCATGTCAAAGGTGGATGTATATACATACTGTGTCAACAAAAACATGGATGGTACATATCGTTACACTCATTCATACATACCTATATAAAATATTATCACATTATATATATATATATAATTATATATATGTATGTATGTATGTATGTATGCATGCATGCATGCATGTATGTATGTATGTGGATATGTTGACCAACGCTGGTTGGTGGTTTCAACTGCCCCAAGTGCCATTCGTATTTTTTGGTCATCTCCACTGCATCTCCACTGCCATGGCTGGGTTACCCTGCTGGGCAGAATGAGCCTGGCCACGATTTAACCAGCAAACATTGCGATAAAAAACCTGCAAATATATGGATTTCACACGCCAAAATTAGGCTTCACCCCTGGAAATTTTACATATAACTATGGAAAATCACAATTTTCATAGGTAAATTCAAACTACAAATAGGCCATGTTCAATCGCTACATGAAATTACCGGAGGGTACACACCCTGTTGGGGATGCCAACACGCCCGGCGGTAGGTTCTGATCCACTCCACATACGGTAGGTGTCTTGGAGATGACCTTTAAACCATGATTAAACATGCTCAAACTATCAGTATATGTATATATATATATTATATATATTATATATTTATATATATTTAATTATATATCTGGTTGGTGGTTTTAACCATCTTGAAAAATATTAGTCAATGGGAAGGATTAACCCATATATTATGGAAAATAAAACATGTTTGAAACCACTAACCATATATATATACACATTATTTTTGATGAACATATCTGATTCTAATATATTCTAACATTTATAATTAATTATATAATCCATTGGAATTTGTTTTTGCCAACATGTTCAGGTACCAACGCCATAAAAACATATAAAAACCTCCATGAACACATCGCCCGTGGCAACCTTCCCAAGGGCCAGGGCCTGCTGCCAGTTCAACAGTCGACCATACTCCGAGCGCAGCTGCGCCACTTTGCCACTCAGATCCAAGGAGGCCTCCGGTGACCCAGGCCATATCAGGGAAGGGAAAAAAATGGGTTGAAGATGTGGTCACCAAAGACGGACACAAACATGGTTTGGGGGAAAACTAGTGCTGCCAAATGTCTGTTTTTTCACCATGAATATAGTCGGAAAAAAAACAAGTGTATTTATCTATTGATTATGCAAAGGATAGTAATGCTTCACCAGCATTTACGTAAACAATTTGCTGATGCTTGATGTGAGCACTAGTAACTAGAGACATGCTACACAACCCATGGGCAGTCATAGCATCACTCTGTATGTGCTGACAACTATGCAACAGTGAACCAAGCCACAAACACTGGGGCATGCTTGGATGAGGGATCGCAGATATGATATCACGTCAAGATACATCAACTAGAACTAGTAACGAATCCCAAGACAACTCTTCGGGAATCAACAGGACTTGATCTGTTGATGTCTCCCCCACATTTCCCCTTCATCACAATCTTTCAGTAATAAATGCTCTATACCTGGATGACAATCCTATTTAGCCCTGGTTCATGTTGGTTATGCAGCCCTGGTGATCGTAGCTACCTGGCCGTGCCTCGCAGCGCAGCTTTTTTCTCCCGATGGAAAATAGCTTTATTGGGGGGTCTCTGGTAATTTAACATAGCTATTGAAAATGGCCATTTATAGTGGATTTATCCATTAAACATGATGATTTTCCATAGTTGTGTTAGTTTACCAGATGGTATATCACCCATTTTCAGACACACCTATACTACTCGGCGTTAAAGTGGGATGGTCATTGGAGTCAGTGCGTGGTACCCACTTCACCTGCTGTCATCACTGGTTGGTTAGTGTTAAAACATCGTTGAACCAGTCCGTCGAAGTAACACATGTTCAAGCAACAGTAATAAGGAACTAGTAACCAAACAACCATCACTTGTAAGTGATCTCCCCTTTCTTTAAGGGTCAATATACCAAATAAATCCAAATAACTACCAGTGTAAATTCCTTAGTCCATATATATATATAGGGTGGATATCACGTTGGTTTCTTCAAACAACAATTTTTGGTACAAAATGTAGCTTTGGGAAATTGTGGTGCTTCCAAGTGCTTCAACCGGTCATACAAAACCGCTCAATTTTTATCTAGGTTGAATCAATGCATCGCACAAACAACACAGAATATATACCAAATAAGTATAGTATAGTATAGTATGGTATAGTATAGTATAGTATAGCATAGTATTAGTATAGTATAGTAACATAATGTAACATATATTTAAATATAGAGTAACTATCTATATATTATTATCCATCTGTAGTTACCACCCCAAAATAATACGCAAACATCGGAACGTGATTTCCCATAAACAACTCAGCTATCCAGCTAGGTCCCCGCACCCTGCGTCCCTCCAATAAGGCCAGGTGTAGGGCCTCACGACCTGGAAAGGTGGGAGTTCAATGGTGATGTCATGGGATTTCTCCTTTGGTTCTATCAAAAACATTCAAAAACAGTGTTCTGGTTGGTGGTATACCTACCCCTCTGAAAAATATGAAAGTCAGTTGGGATGATTATTCCCAATATATGGAAAAATAAAAAATGTTCCAAACCACCAACCAGTAATATGTTTTAACATGTTTTAACCATGAGGAATGGGGGGCTTTCAGAATCAAAGATGCATTTCTTGCGTTTTCATCTCTTTGCAGCATCCAGACTTGCCATTCTCAATACATCCCATACCTATTCCAGCCTGGTGGGTTTTGACCTACACAAACAACAGAACACCATGTTTGACACAACTCGTGGTTTCCAAAGGGATATGAACTAATTCCATCTAGTTCCATCTAGTTCCATCTAGTTCTATCTAGTTTCATCTAGTTCCATCTAATTCTATCTAGTTCCATCTAGTTCCATCTAATTCCATCTAGTTCCATCTAGTTCCATCTAGTTCCATCTAATTCCATCTAATTCCATCTAGTTCCATCTAGTTCCATCTAGTTCCATCTAGTTCCATCTAGTTCCATCTAGTTCCATCTAGTTCCATCTAATTCCATCTAGTTCCATCTAGTTCCATCTAGTTCCATCTAATTCCATCTAGTTCCATCTAGTTCCATCTAGTTCCATCTAATTCCATCTAGTTCCATCTAATTCCATCTAATTCCATCTAGTTCCATCTAATTCCATCTAATTCCATCTAGTTCCATCTAATTCCATCTAGTTCCATCTAGTTCCATCTAGTTCCATCTAATTCCATCTAGTTCCATCTAATTCCATCTAATTCCATCTAGTTCCATCTAATTCCATCTAATTCCATCTAGTTCCATCTAATTCCATCTAGTTCCATCTAGTTCCATCTAATTCCATCTAATTTCATCTAGTTCCATCTAGATCCATCTAATTCCTCCATTCTGACACAAATCCTGCCAGCCCTTCCCTGCCTACCCAGCCCCAGGATCCCACACATCCCGACAGCTTGGCCAGCTCGTTCTCTTCCACTTTGAGAGCGTTGCGGGTGATGTTCACCTGGGTTGCGCCGGGTTGAACCATCGAACCGTTCGGGTTGCGTTGCACCATCAAACATGGGCTTCAACATGTTTTGAACCATCATTTCACAATCAATACTCGGGCATTCATCAAAAAGAAACGATAATAACTATGACAAATAGTAACTTAATCAATGAACACATGGGTCCGTTTCAAAATCTGGCATTGGTAATCCTTTCCAGAGTTTCAGGGCTGCAATCTGCCAGTTAGATGATCAAAGTGTTATCATAGGATTAACTTGGTTTGGCCCAACAGCAGAAGGGCTTGGCAAATGACACACCACTCCTAGACCCATAGATTGAAACCCAAACAAGCACTGGTGTTGGGAATGGAATAACCACCAGGGGTCTTGAACACAGTTCAACCGTGTTTATAATTATATTGTATATATATATATAAATAAACTACTAATGAATATATGTATATTAATTAATCAGTTTGTACTAATTATTCAGTAGACAGTGACAGAACAAACTATCCCCACCAGGATTCCTCCAAAGACATGACGCGTGACGCATGGCCTGCGCATGCCAAAGGTCCTGTGCTTCCTGCAATCCTCGTTGCGCTCTCTGGGCCTGCTCCGGGTCACCATCAATGGGGGATATCTCCGGGGAAAATTTAGTGGTTAATAGTCAATAAGGATTTATAGTGTCCAATATATAGTGAGAGTAGTAAATACATGTAAATACTATCTCATAGTTGTTAGTAATGGTTTATTGTGATTAATGATGGTGATTTAACCAGCCGAAATCGTTCTACAATGGGGAGAGAATGGGAGAACATTAGATCATATTAGAGATGATACAGGATGATATGGGATAATATGAAATCCGCCGACCCCTGCCGCCAGCAGGGGGAGCGCGTCAGAGGAGGCCTTACTAGCAACAAGATGCAAGAAGGGGCGAAGAGAGAACTTTGGACAGACGACGCAGGCCATGGTGTTTGAGCCCTGCGAGGGGGTCCCTTGACCGGAGCCGCGCCGGACGAAAGCCAGCTGTCAGACAGCGCAGGCAAGTTGGCAGTTGGCAGTGCAGGAACGCAGGTAAAGTCAAGGTTTGGAGCTAGTTTCTAGTCGGTTCAGAAAGTACCGTTTGGCAGTCTGGGCTACGGGCCGCGGGCCCAATCCGTCCTTCACTGCCATGGTGTTTTAGCCCTGCGACACGGTCCTTGGACTCCAGCTTGGACCGGAGCTGCGCAGAACGAAAGCCAGCGGCAGTGCAGAAACGCAGGTAAAGTCAAGGTTTGGAGCTAGTTTCTAGTCGGTTCAGAAAGATTACATCCCCCATTCAAGAAGAGATTACATCCTGCCCTTGCAGACCAAAAGAATCTTATCGTCTGCATTAAAGACAAGATTACATCCCCCATTGCAAACGATAGGATTCTTATCGTCTGCTTTCAAGAAAAGATTACATCCCCCATTGCAGACGATAAGATTCTGATTGTCTGCATCCAAGAAAAGTTCTCATCCCCCATTCAAGAAGAAATTGCATCCTTCATCGCAGATTCAAGAAGAGATTACATCCCTCATTCAAGAAGAATTGACATCCCCCATTGCAGACGATACCCCATTGCAGACGATAAGATTCTTATCGTCTGCGTTAAAGAAAAGTTCTCATTCCCCATTCAAGAAGACATTGCGTCCCCCATTCAGATTCAAGAAGAGATTATACATCCCCCATTCAAGAAGATCACCTCGCCGCCTTGCAAGGAGAACGAAGACTTTCGCCACTGACCTGGCACAGACTCATGTATCCCTATGCATGTAAGTGTGTCATTCAAGAAGAGTTCTCATCCCCCATTCAAGAAGAAATTGCATGCCCCATTGCAAACGATGCGATTCTTATCGTCTGCATTCAAGAAAAGTTCTCATCCCCCATTCAAGAAGAAATTGCATCCCCCCTTGCAGACGATAAAATCTTATCGTGTGCATTCAAGAAAAGTTCTCATCCCCCATTCAAGAAGAAATTGCACCCCCCATTGCAGACGATAAGATTCTTATTGCTGCGTTCAGAAAAGATTACATCACCCCTTGCAGACGATAGGATTCTTATCGTCTGCTTTCAAGAAAAGATTACATCCCCCATTGCAGACGATAAGATTCGTATCGTCTGCATTCAAGAAAAGTTCTCCTCCCCCACTCAAGAAGAAATTGCATCCCCCATTGCAGGCGATAAGATTCTTATCGTCTGCGTCTGCGTTCAAGAAAGTTCTCATCCCCCATTCAAGAAGACATTGCATCCCCCATTGCAGACGATAAGATTCTTATCGTCTGCGTTCAAGAAAAGTTCTCATCCCCCATTCAAGAAGACATTGCAGCCCCCACTGCAGATTCAAGAAGAGATTACATTACATCCCCCATTCAAGAAGGTCACCTCGCCGCCTTGCAAGGGGAACGAAGACTTTCGCCACTGACCTGGCACAGACTCATGTATCTCTATATGTATGCGCATGGTTAAACATAATATGATGCATATGCGTATAGTCTACAATATGTACATGAGGTGATAACTGCAAATATATATATACACGTAGACATGCACATATATAAATCCATCTTATGCATATCTCTGCATGTAAGTGTGCGAATTTTGCAAATATACACTTATATATATATGTATGTATGTACGTACATACATATGTATGTATGTATGTATGCATGCATGTATGTATGTATGTATATATATATAAATATATTTATATATACATATACATATGTCACGAATCCTCACGAAATGTAAAGTCATATCATACAGCTATTGCAAATTCGAGAAGAGATTACATCCCTCATTCAAGAGGAATTTCCATGCCCCATTGCAAACGATACGATTCTTATCGTCTGCATTCAAGAAAAGTTCTCATCCCCCATTCAAGAAGAAATTTCATCCCCCAATACAGACGATAAAATCTTATCGTGTGCATTCAAGAAAAGTTCTCATCCCCCATTCAAGAAGAAATTGCATCCCCCCTTGCAGACGATAAGATTCTTATCGTCTGCATTCAAGAAGAGTTCTCATCCCCCTTTCAAGAAGAAATTGCATCCCCCATTGCAGACGATAAGATTCCTATCGTCTGCATTCAAGAAAAGTTCTCATCCCCCAATCAAGAAGAAATTGCATCCCCCATTGCAGACGATAAAATCTTATCGTGTGCATTCAAGAAAAGTTCTCATCCCCCATTCATTAAGAAATTGCATCCCCCATTGCAGACGATAAGATTCTTATTGCTGCATTCAAGAAAAGTTCTCATCCCCCATTCAAGAAGACATTGCAGCCCCCACTGCAGATTCAAGAAGAGATTACATCCCCCATTCAAGAAGGTCACGTCGCCGCCCTGCAAGGGGAACGAAGACTCTCGCCACTGACCTGGCACAGACTCATGTATCTCTATATGTATGCGCATGGTTAAATATAATATGATGCAAATGCGTATAGTCTACAATATGTACATCAGGTGATGACTGCATATATATATATATACACGTAGAAATGCACATATATAAATCCATCTTATGCATATCTCTGCATGTAAGTGTGTGAATTTTGCAAATATACACTTATATATATGTATGTATGTGTATATATATAGTTATTTATAAAGCAATCATTGTGGGATTCCTGAGTACACTTCCTTCATTACTGAAGGGGTGTCCCCCCCAAAAAATCTGATCTATAGATTCCTCTTGCACTGGGTACCTCCCGTTACTACTCAAATTTCTTAAATCTTGGCCTCACATTGTCTACAATGCACATCAATGACAACTGCTAACTCCTAGAGCGTCCACATCATGAAGGATCCCTACGATATGGAATCCAAACCACATCGTAGTTCGTTATTATCATGTGGTTAATCAGGTGATCACATTGCTGTATATCACATCCATTGTAACATTTCATTCCCTATAGGTAGGATATTCTTTTTCTCCCAATTGCGTTGCTCCGAATCAGCCCCTGTGGCGCCTGCGCCCAGAGCGGAAACTCCGATGGTGGGAGCCATGCGGAGGTGCAATGCAAGCGGGCGGAGCCCCTTAATAATTTACCAATCATTAGGATTCAGTATGGATTAATAGTGGGTACAGTAATAGATGGTAATAGTGGTTAACATGAGTTATCATAGTCAATAATGGGTTAATCATGCCATGATGGCCATTGATGGGTAACCTCTGGTAATCAAGCATGGCAATCAAAAATCCTCTGTAAGTGGTTTTACAGCTGGGAACATTCTCTACAAATGGCGTTAAATTAAAGTACTGCACTGATGATTTACTGTAACCATCATTCCAGTGAGGTCGCAGTGAGGTCGTTATAATCTATCCATATATATATATATAGCATGGGACTTAGGAATGGGGATTGGGAAAAAACAGTGATCATTCTACGCGATATTTCCAGAGATAGATGAACAGCAATATGATACGTATGCTGGGATTGGGGTCGTCAATGGGGTACGTATCCCATTTTGAGACAAAACCACACCAACAAAAACAATTAGGAATTCAAATCAACAATGTCTTAGGGATTGTTTGGGACTGTAAACATCAAACGGGAACGGGTCAAAACCAGTGATTTTCCCATATGAATTGTATGTTGATATGAACAGAAGGGGCACCCAATTGACATAGGGAGTCAAGTCAGCAGGTACCGTTTCAAATTGGATGTTGATTATATAAATTTAATTAAAATTCCTCCTTCAGATCCTAATATTTGATACCATAAAATAGCATACATTAATGTGGCTTCTTATGCTGGAAGTATTCGAAAAACCAAAAGCTGCCGTGGCTCCGTGGAGATGATCCGATCGATCCAAATCGCTGTTGTGACGTCGTTTCTTCTGTGTGGAAACAGGGTTCTTCTCAAGTTTTCCTCAATGGTTATGTCATATGTATATATATATATATACATATATACATATATACATATATATATATATGTCATGGTTCCTGGGTGATTCCCGACCAACGCCTCCTAGGATTCGGATGGATTCGGGTTCATTTCCGATCTTACCCTTGGGATTCCATGGAAGCAATGTCCGGGATCCCCTGGATCCCAGCACAATAAACCAATGACACTGGAGCCGCCTCCTGCATTACTTGCTGCTGCTTCCGCGCTGCCTTGGGGATGGCCTCAGGAAGTACCATCCGTCCCCGCTTTCGTACATCAATTTGATACACCTACCCTCTGGTTATTTAACATAGCCATGGAAAATCACAATTTTTAATAGGTAAACCATCTATAAATGGACCATTTTCCATGGCTATGTTAAATAACGAGAGGGTAATTTTCTGCTTCCTCTGTGAATTCAACATAGCTGTGGAAAAAAACATAGACATTATAGATAACAATAGGGTCTCCCTGTTACCCCTGTTACCCTTAATGAATCACGGAACTAAATATGTGATCTTCTCAGGCGCGACACCTCAGCAACAGCCAGCATCTCCTCTTTCAGGGCATCGCTCTCCTGGACGCTTTGGCACCAGGGCTGCTCGGAGTGTCATTGATTGAAACATAGTTTTAAGCATATGAATATATTATACATCTACCATATATGCATCAATTGGAATCATCAAAGCAGTAAGTCGGAGTTCCTAACCCACTACAAACCCACTACTTCAGTCGTCACGAACAACATAGGCTACCTCCAAATCCTGTACATGAAATCAGTTCCCCCCAATGATACAGGGGAATATAGGGGAATTCACTGACCCATTTGTGGACCCCACATATCATAATATCATTAATATACCCGATGAAATATCACCATGAAACACCGTACCAATATAGACCCCCATTTACCCTCCGGTAATCACATGTGGCAATGGAAAATCTCCCATTTTGAGCTGAAACCTCCATTTATAGTGGATTTCCAATTGCCATGTTACCGCAGGCGAAACATCGGAACTCCGGAACTCCACACCTCCCGAAGCTTTGCACGACCCGTGTTGAGCGCCAACAAAGCCTGGGGATTGGGACCGGAACAGTATGGAATACCTTGGGCATCCCAATCTATGATTGATTTATACTGGATGGTGGTTTCAACATGTTTCAACCCCTCTGAAACATATTAGTCAATTGGGATCATTATTCCCAATATATGGAAAAATAATCCAAATATATCCAAATGTTCCAAACCACCAACCAGTATACCTTTAGCAACCCATGTGGAGCTGGGGATAGCTGGGATATATCATACATCCCACAAGTCGAACTCGGTTACTACTGTAACTGAGATGGACATCTCTTCCCACTTGGAAGCCTCAGCTCTTGTCATGGGTTGAAATAAGATGGGTATGGATCATTTTTTGCCAAGAACATGGATGATGAAATAGTATGCATTGACCAAAACCTATTGCTTGCTGGGTCAGAATTTTTGAACCGTATCCAATGCATTGAAGGATGCTGAATGCAAACTGCTTGTTTGTGGTTGCGGTGGCGCAACCCATCCCATTCTGACGGATGAACAATATCGACACGAAATACGAATCTACTTTGGTTGAGTCAGTTATTGCTAAACACATTGCTAAAAATAGGTTTCCTAACGTAGGGGTACATCCAGATCATCCATTTTAGCAGGATTTTCCCAAACCATCCCAGTGATTGGGTACCTCATTTATGGAAACCCCAAATCTGTGCTGCTAAATCCCTCTGAAACCTTGCAAACGTTGCTCATCAATCCAGGTTGAAAGGCTGGTATCTTCCAACGATGTTCCAACGCTATATTCCAGCAAGTCATGGAGCTGATGACCGGGTCAATTCCATTAAATCCCATTGAATCCCATTACAGTAAATCACCATTAAATCATCATTAAATCACCATTATATAATATAAATCATCATTAAATCACCATTGCCATGTTTTAAGCACCAAGTCCCGCTGTCCCAACTTCGCCTGCTCATTGTTCTCCTGGTTCAACGCCATCAGCTCCGAATTCTTTTTGTCCACATGTCCCTGCAATGCCTGCGGCCACGGACCAAGTATATCTGTAAATAAGAACCAAATGTGTACAAAGAAATATATCTGTAAATGCATAGATACATGTATATACATGTATGTACACATATATAAAAACATGGGAACATGCATGTACAAGTACATGTATAGATGTATGATGATGTATGTATAGATGTATCATACATAGATGTATCATACATGGATGTATGATGTATGTATATATATATAATATTATATGTATACACGCATATGTGTGTGTATGTATGTATGTGTGTATGCATGCATGCATGCATGTATGTATGTATGCATGGATGGATGGATGGATGGATGGATGGATGTATGTATGGATGCATGCATGCATGCATGCATGTATGTATGTATATATATATATATACATCGTGCAGTACGGCTAGCCCACCAGTTCGGGTGCAGTTTCACAACATAACAACGACATCATTCTGTGAGCCTGGTGGTCTTACAGTTTTCCATCAAACAACCTTTTGTTAAACCAGAACTGACCTGTGGGGCTGCGGCAGCTGCGGGTCCGGGAATCCCCAAAAGCCGCTGTAAACTAACATGAACAACTAACATGAACTCCCAAAACATGGGTTTGCACGATCATTTGTATAGTGCAAGTAGGAAGCTTTGGGTTCCATCACAGCTTTCAGGACTTTCCCCGTATCTCTTTTAGACCAGTTTCCGTTGTTGTAAGTAGTTGGAACAAGTTTCAAACGCATCCACAAATATAGTTCCCCGGAAAAAAAGGTCTCATGGTAAACTGTTGCTGCCCACCACCCGCAGTTCCCATCTGAATTTGTTATCAATGCAGTTGCTGCGGAGCCCAACCCCTGTGGTATCTAACGTTCTTTGATTGATGAACCCCTCAATAAGTTTCACTCAAACATTCCCGCCCGGATGTTTTTTGGTCATTCCCAGAGCTCCCAATAGAAAACGGAAGGGTCCCACCCTCTATGGTTCTTTCGCTTGGAGGGTCAACCCCTTTACCAATCTGGCTCTCAATGCAGCTTTGACATGCTTCAGTCAACATCCATGGGCCGGGACCTTTGCAACCTTGATACCCTCTAGCAATCAGGCGTGACAGTGACTTGACAGTGAAAACCATAGAAATATAAGTGACTTGTCATTGCCATGTTGGATAATTGGAGAGCAGGCTAAGATTTATTCAATTAATCATGAATAGGCTAGGCTTCTTTTTGCACTGGTGTGGATTTTTCATTGGACACTTGCAAGGCTTCCATCATTCTTCACTCAAGATTCACCGAAATCACAAGCGTTCAACATAGCCAAACCATGATTTATTCAGTAATCTTTGTTGTCTTAGTTGCCCATTGACCTACCCATTGACCAAGCGCCTGCAGTTCGTACAGGAGTCGGGCAAGTTCTTTGGCCTGGTGCTGACACACAGACCGCCATGTCTTGAATATAAATTAGCCAATATAGATACATATATATATACATGTCGGGCTTTTTGTTAAATGACCTGAGTATAAGTTCTGGTCTATATTAATTGACTTTCAGCAATTAGCAATTCAACATAAGTTGATTTGGAAAATCCACCATGAATGTAGATCACTTGCCTTCGGGTATCTACGGTACCGGTACTAATATTGTTCATTTACTGAAAGCAAACTCACTGTGGTCCCCATTTTTTGAATCCATATTTCGGTGACCTCCACAAGCAACACAAATATATAGTTCCACTGTACATTTCAGTGAATGCGTTAGTTATTTCAGTTATAGCCCAGTGTACCTTATTTCTGAAGCCGGGGCCCATACCCCAGATCGGAAATGAGTTAACTCGGGGGCCCAGTAACCGAACCATCCATCAATGCTGAGGCAGTTGAGGCCCTCATCGTTGTCAAAATCCATCACCGCTTTGATAGAACCCCTGGAGGATCTATATATACAACTTATCTCATTAATCTTTGATATTCACCCCACAAAAGTGATCATATTAGCTGGAAAAGTCCAACTTGTAG